TTCTTTGTTTTTTTCTTAAGGGCTACTAGCCCATAAACCCTTTGATCACGGAATGAACCTATTGTTCTCTTTTGTTTTCTTTACTGTTATACAGCCCCTAAAACCAAAATTATTGCTCGGACAGACAGATGGACGGACGCCAGGGGGTATAACATAATATGCCCGAAATTTTTTCGGGCATATAAAAATAAATTAATGAAATATTTAAGAAAAAGTTTTACAGCAGCATCTATTTGCAGTCATTTACTAAAATAAACACACGTACAAGTATCATTCTTTAAATAGATAACACTGTTACAATTCACGTTACCTGAACTACGGTTGTTATTAAAGCTGTCCTGGTAAACGTCAGTCTTTATTGACTTTTACATATTTCACTTATTTCACGAGTTATTTTCTTTTTTTTTCGTTAACATAAACGGCAAATCAACAATATTATCATAACAAACAAATCGGTTACAACACCTCTTATTTTGTATCAATTAACCTTAATTGCCTTTGTCACGATCACGAGGTGTTCAAAACATGTGTTGCAGACTGTCATTTATTTAGGACATGTCAACTTGTCTTTTTGTGTTCGACCAAAAAGGTGCGATTTTCACTATATTTCTGCCGAAGGGACCAGAGATCAGGTTCGAGAGATCGGTGTTCGAGCGATCGGAGGTAGAACAATATATATTATATAGGAATTTTGCCGGGACTGGGCCATGAGTTCGACCGAAGGGAGGTATTGGAGCAATCCGAGTTCGAGTGAACAAAGTTTAACTGTACTTAAAACGGGTGGGGTAGGGTAACATTTATATACATATTTCAAACATTTTGAGTAGAAACAATAAAAATAGGAAAACATTTTTTCATAATGATTATAAAATAGAATATTTAGAGTTTCTAATTTGCGAAAAAGAGCCCTTCTAATAGTCAATTTTTACTTAAAAAAATCTCCATAACTCATAAACCATGATACTGTAAACTTTGTTTAAATTTTGCATTCTTGTGTCTTTTAATCTATATAACTGACCTATGTTGTCAATTTTATAGTTCCTTATAGTGCCCATTAGGGGGCTCATACCTTAATATGATAAAATAAAAACTTGGAAAGGAACTGCTACTCAATTCAAACTTAAGTCTTTCGTTTGTCTAATTTTATGCTGATTTTTGGGGAGGCTATGCCTCCCCAATGTTAATACTATCCGTCAAATCTTACTGCCGCGGTAATCAGGTCAAAAAATAGTACTTTGATTTTTTTTGAGCTGACTCATCACTCATCACAGACATTTACAATATGAAAATATTTTCATTCTTTTATTTCATATTTGCAATTTGTAAAGATAATAATTCTCTGAAAAATTCTTGATTTTTGTTTGTTATTTTTTCAAAATCACTACTCCGTTACATCATACTGCCGCGGTAATCAGGTTTAGGCATCATACGTTGGTAATAAATAGTTCTGGTATGAAAACCCTTTTATATAATAACTTTATCAATATTTTTAAACAAAAAGCATAAATGAAAATTTATAGGTAAATGCTTTAATTAGGTGGCAAATATTCTTTATTATTTTTGATAACAATTTTCCAATTACTACGCAGCGACCAACTGTTTATGACGGGTCATTAACTAGAACGTTGCAACACCGTAGTCTCAATATCGTGCATGTTCTTTTGTTGTTATAAACCATTAATAGTCCTTAATATTTTTTTAAAGACAAATAATGGTTAACTGTCGCTTACATCTGAGAGACATGGATCATGCTTGCGTGATAACTAAGGAAAACTAACTTATTAGTACACCTTAGGAGGCTGTACGCGGAAAACGCTCATAAATCGCTATATCATATAGCTGTTAGTAAATATTTTGCATACATTTAACTAAAAATTCACTGATGGTGATGAACATATAGTTTGAAAACATTATATTCTTAAACCATGTATCGCCGAAAAAAAACTATTTAACTACAAAATCCGTAAGGACCCTCCAACAAAATTTCACCACAAGATTACATTTAATATTAGCAAAATAAAAAAAAGCAATACTTATATTTTCATCTTACATAATTCATTAATCAAACTTTTAACATAAAAGTACCTTTTAAAAATATGTCTGGCAATTGACAGATCCCTGCTCTGATCTTTTATTTGTAAAGGAATAAATTTAAACATGTGATCTTTTGTTTAGGAATATTTTGTAGTGAAAGTCTTAATATATCCACTTATCTCATAATTAGAATTAGACAGGTCAGGGATTTATACAACCAGTTGTTTAGTTATCTACGCTCATTTTAATCCCAATAGAAACATTCAAATATTCGGGGTAAAAAACATGACCAAAGTACCTAGTAGTCGTTTACCCGGTGGTGATCCCATTTTTTAAACTGATTATGGATTCGAATAGAAATCACAAATAGAAACATGTGTTTGGGTACAACAAAAATCGGAAGTAAAGTGAACAGTTAAATGACAGAAATATGTGGTCAGATATGTTTTAACAAGGAAATAATTATTTCAGAAAAAGACGCAAAGATCAGTCTTCAATCAAATGAATGACCCCGTATTGTGTAATTAGAAAGTTAATTCAATTCTAGGGCAACGAATCATAATTTGATAGTCCATGTGTAATAAAATTTTCAATACAGATTGTGAGATACATAAAAATATTAAAGAATAAGAAGCTTTAAAAAACAAAAAAAAAAACAAACGCATATATATACGAATGACTTACAGTCGAGCATCGGAAATTCATCAACATACATTTGTATCTTACGAAATTTTAATTTGAAAACGATATTTGCGCGCGCTGAAGTGATTGTTTATTTGAATAAATCAAATAAAAAAAACTTATATGCTTGTGTTCTAAAAATAATTGGCGGCATGAACCGAATTTCGTTTTCATTTTACAACACTTGAAAAATTACTACAGAAAATATGTTGTTGTTTTTTTTCTGTTTTGTTTTCAACAAGAGTGTGTGTTTTAAGTTCATTTATTCTCGGCGCCGGAATAACCATATGTCCGAGATTATAGCATCGGGGACGTCTTTTTGAAGCAGAATCTTCCTGGTAGCCCATTCTTCGTTCGTTAGTGGTAAAGGAGACGACAGTACTGTCAAGGCATCAACTTCCTGACTGACGACAACAAAAACGGCGTTCATTAGCGCCAAACCTCCAGAGGAAGTTACGACAGGTCAACCAATCACCTCTGGTACTTGAGATGACTTGACCTTGACCTGCCGTGTGCCTTCTCCGCGACGTGCATATCTCTGGAGAGATTTGGAGAAGTTTCAACAAAAACCTCCAAAATACGCTTTTTATAACACCATTCATAGCACTGACGCTTCGATGTTCTAATCTCTTTGCGGGAAATGGTCGACAAGGAAAACCCTACGTAATAACCGCACACCCTGTTAACAACAGATTTTCCGCAGTATATATTTCAAGCTAGTGAGGTTTAAAATCTATCGATTAACTACCATAAATTGGTTGAGTGTTGGCGGTAAAAAAGAAGATATAACTTCCTGATCAATTTTCACTTAGGTTGATTCAATTTTGAATATTATAAGCTTTGCAGCTATGTATTTTTTCAAGAAATATTTAGCTTTAATATTATCCGAAGCCGTCAAAGTCAGCGACGAGTAATGAAATGGGAATAATTTTCTGAAATGTGATTTTATTCGAGATTTGCTTCGGGAGAAGACAACTTTCTGTCCGTAGAGAATGAATATTAATACTCATCACAAGACAGTGTCTTATTGATCTCAATTATGGTACATGTAAATATGTATAATTTTTATGTTCAATTAAAATGTTGCTTAACTTGCAGTTGTTATTATCATTCAATGATATTAAAATGACATAAAGTATTTATGATGAACAGTCCTAGAATATTTTGATAAGGAACCGTCAGTTGTAAAATGGTATTATGATCTTATAATGAACAGTCGTCATACCTGCTGGTATGTCATTTATGAATGGTTTTTAGGTTTTTCAAAATTTGCATGATTAACAATCCGAATGTAGACCTCAATGAAATGTTCTGGAATATTAACAAAATGAATAGTCAACCATATTAACCATATATATGAATGGTTGAATGATAAATGGCGCAATGTGCATATCTTCTTATTTAACAGCACATTTTAAGCAAAAAGAAAAGAAACTATAAGTCTGAAACATTCTGTCATAGCCTCCCCATCAGTACATTCAGTGCTTTGATTACACATTTTGGTCATATTTTGGCAGTCAGTTTACCTACCCAACTTTCCTGGATAACAAACCAATAATAACCAATTTCTCAGACATGACAGACTGCTAATCCTTAATGATTTTTGTACTTCAGGATGTGAGACAAATGACCAAGGTTGAATCCAGTGATCCCTAGTTTACAAATACGATGCTCTTCCTATTAAGCTAAGCTATTTCACATTTTCCATAACCCATTACGTCATATACACGCCTTTTAACACCTTTTTCACACACCCCCTTTTTGTTGTCCCCAAGAAAATTTTGGGCTTGTAAGAGGCTAAAAATGACCCCAGGTCGATCATAAGGTAACGTGTAACCAACGCTGAAAAGCCTTTGACTCTATCTTGAGAAGTTGCAGCACTTTGAAATCAATTGATGGAATAAATCAATGCAAAAAAGTGATTTTGGCAATTTTGAGATGTCCCCTCAATGCCATGGTAACAGGAAATTAAAGACTGAGCATGTTGTTACAAAGGCAATGGTCAAGTCAACATTTGTGCCAAGTTTGATTAGTATTGAAGCAGTTTTTATAGTTTGATAGCAATTTGAACTTCTAACGGGAGACTTTTCCGATGAAGCAGCCATTTTTCACAAAATCACAAAATGCTCATGCAGTAATGGGTTAAGTAGTACTACCAATGACTGTAAGTTAGTAGAAGACAGATAACTCTCATAATTATGTCATTCAATTTCTCTACAGAGATTTGAACTACAGAGCCTTTAAGTTCATCCTATTACCTTAATTAAAATTAAAATGATACTTACCATCAATTTTGTTCGCACAAACAAGGCATGGTATTTCTGGTCTATATTCTCTCAGTTCTTTTAACCATAATGGTAAATTTTTGTATGTTATTTTCCTTGTTGAATCAAATACCTGTCAATGTAAAAGATTATTTGGTGACTTTAGATAAACAAGAGGGCATTGAAGACCCTTATGGCTCGCCTGATTATTATCATTAATGAATATTGTTAGCAATGAAAGAAAAGCAGATAAAATGTCATAATCTTAAAACTAGGGATGGCAATGAATACCAAAATCAATACAGTTAGTACTTTGTCATTTTTTCGATCGATTACTAGGTTACTTGGATGATTTCCAATGATTATCAAAGTTTTATCACACAATATCAACACCTTCTACTTTAGTTTTCTATCAAAATTCATAGAAATTGTAACAATAAATAGGTTTGCAAGGGAGGTTACTTAGAATAACCAATAAACAAATCAACAACATTATATTTAACATCTTTTCGATTAATGCAATATCAAGTTTAAAACATGTGTAGCAGTTCATATATGTTGACGAATGCAACACAGCTGTTTAATCCCATGCTCGTGTCAAACTGTTGATCGCCTTGTTTAATTTACGATATCATTTTCCCACCTCTGCAATGCATTTAACAGGTATTTATGAAGATAAATCTCTTAATTTCTGAACTAATTGGATACACCAATCTTTCTAAATTGCAAAAGAATAAAAATTATATAATTTTCTGAGTAATCAAATATCAATTTTGTAACCGATATTCCGATGTTTGATCAAGTACTTGGTTAACCGGTTACCATCCCTACTTAAAACTGATAACATAACATTCATATCTGTACCTGAAACAGTGCAAATGTAAACAAGGTTTTTCCATATATTGACTGTCACTTAGTTTTTGACCCCAGATGACCCACATTCAAACTTGACCTAGAAATCAATAACTTTGCTGACAAATTTCCAGGATATTTGGGATGAAAATATTACATTTAAAATTACCAAGTCTTTTCTATATTTGAGCTGCCTAACCTTGTTTTTTGACCACAGATGACCTATATTTAAACTAAAGATCATCTACACGACCTTTTTGACCACTTCCCAGGATTTTATAACCAAAACAGCAGCGTCTAGAGTGTTTACAAGGTTTATCCATATGTAGGCTTGTGTGACCTAGTTTTTGACCCAGGATGACTCATATTTGAACTTAAAGACGTTTTCGGGAGTTTTCATATAGACTTATAGGCAAAATTAAAACTGTTCAATAGAATTTCTTTAAACTTGGAATGTTGTTAGAATATGATAACAGAAACCTTTTTAAGCTGAAAAACAAAGGGTCACTGTTCTTGTTTTTGAGTTATCTGACCTTGAATTGGACTTTTTTGTTAAAATCAAGGGCAGATAACTTATTATGAAGGGAAACAATACATTTTTTCTTCTTATTTTCTATATATTAAATTAATTGCAGACAAAACTTTCATATTTTTGTGTGGGCATCCCTTAGCCCATTGGCTGTGATTGAATCTACCAATGTTACCAACGCAGAACAAGATGATAGCCAGCACTTCAGTGCGATCTGCACTGTTTGCTATAAAAAGAACAAGAGGGCCATGATGGCCCTGAGTCGCTCACCAGAAACAACTGCTTTTCGGTGTTGGAAATTATCCATTGTCAATATTTTCTGATTATTAAATTTGAGCCAATCAAATTAATATAAGCAAACTTGATAAAAGACTACCTAATAATGCTACAAAGTTTGGTGATCATCTATCAATTATTTCAGTAGGAAATGATGTTCAAAGGTTTTCATAGATTTAGTGGCCCCAAAAAGGGGCTCAAATTAATATGAGCAAATTTGATACTAACCAAGAATGCTACAGACAAAGTTTGGTGATCATCCATCAATTAGTTCTCTAGATATAGATGTCTAAAGGTATTTCTATTTTTAGCTTTAGCGGCCCCTAAAAGGGGCCAATTAAATTAATATGATCAAACTTGATTAAAGACTACCTAAGAATGCTACAGACAAAATTTGGTGATCATTCATCAATTAGTTCTATAGAAGAAGACGTTTTAAGGTTTTTCTATTTTTAGCCCTAGAGACCCCTAAAAGGGGATAATCAAATTAATATGATCAAACTTGATAAAAGACTTCCTAAGAATGCTACAGACAAAACTTGGTGATCATTCATCTATTAGTTCTATAGAAGAAGATGTCTAAAGGTTTTTCTATTTTTAGCTCTAGAGACCCCTAAAAGGGGTAAATCAAATTAATATGAGCAAACTTGATAAAAGACTACCCAAAAATGATACAGACAAAGTTTGGTGATCATCCATCAATTAGTTCTGTAGAAATAGATGTTTAAAGGTATTTCTATTTTTAGCTATAGCTGCCCCTAAAAGGGGCCAATCACAATAATATGAGCAAACTTGATATAAGACTACCCAAGAATGCTACAGACAAAGTTTGGTGATCATCCATGAATTAGTTCTATAGAAGAAGACATTTAAAGTGTTTACTATTTTTAGCCTTTGAGACTCCTAAAAGGGGCCAATCAAATTAATATGAGCAAATGATCAAAAGACTACCCAAGAATGCTACAGACAAAGTTTGGTGATCATCCATCAATTAGTTCTCTTGATATAGATGTTTAAAGGTATTTCTATTTTTAGCTTTAGCAGCCCCTAAAAGGGGCCAATCAAATTAATATGAGCAAACTTGATAAAAGACTACCCAAGAATGATACAAAGTTTGGTGATCATCCATCCATTAGTTCTGTAGAAGAAGACATTTAAAGGTTTTTCTATTTTAGCCCTAGAGACCCCTAAAAGGGGCCAATCAAATTAATATGAGCAAACTTGATAAAAGACTACCCAAGAATGCTACAGACAAAGTTTGGTGATCATCAATCAATTAGTTCTGTAGAAGAAGATGTTTAAAGGTTTTTCTATTTTTAGCTCTGTTATAAAAGGGGTCACTTGAAATGATATCAGCAAATTCAAGTGTGACTGTCACAAGGATGCTACAGACCAAATTTGAAGTAAATCTGCCCAATAGTTTGAGAGAAGAAGACGATTGTTGACGCATGACGACAGACATCGGACGACGGACGCCGGAGTATCCCCCTTTGATACTAATAGCTCACCCTGAGCCTTTGGCTCTGGTGAGCTAAAAACATAATCTAGAAGTAAAAACAAGAATTCATTTAAGTATGTATAAGTTATCTGCCCTTGAAATGACCTCAAATAAGTAGAAAAGTCTGATTCAGGGGCAGATAACTCAAAAACGAGAACGGTGACCCCATTTTCCCCCGCTTAAAATGTTTCTGTTATCATATTCTAACAAAATGCCAAGTTTAAAGAAATTCTTTTGAACAGTTTTAATTTTGCCTATATGTCTATATGAAAACTCATGAAAACGTCCTTTAACCTTTTCCCTCATATAAGCGTGTTTCGATGGCTTTTTGCCCCCCCCCCCCTTTTGAGGCCGCAAACAGTGAAAAAATGCCCTATTTAGGCCCCAAACACTGGTTTTCATTTGAGAAATGTTGTTAAAAAAAGTGACCACTTTTTCGGCGCCTTCCCCCATCCAAATGTTACATCAGGGGGTTGCCAGAAGGGGGATGTGCCCCCTTCTGTTTGGGGGGTTTGAAGGGGGACAGAGTCCCCCTCATTGCCAAGAAAATTTTGGACATGTGACAGGCTAAAAATGGCCTCAGGTCTATTTTAGGGTAACTTGTAACCGACCCTGAAAAGCCTTTTACTCTATCTCAATTCATTGAGAAGTTGCAGCACTTTGAAATCAGTTTTGATGGAAAAAAACAATGCAAAATAGTGATTTTTGGCAATTTTGAGACGTCCCCCCATTGCCATGGTAACAGGAAATTTACGATTGAGCATGCTGTTACAGAGGCTATGGTGTAGTCAACATTTGTGCCAAGTTTCATCAGTATTGAAGCATTTTTCATAGTTTGATAGCAGTTTGAACTTGTTACAGGAGGCTTTTCAATGAAAACGGTCATTTTTCACAATATGTTAATGGGTAGAAATCATCTAAACAACCTATCTGACCAATTCTCAGGATATTTAAGCTGAAAATGTTACCTGTAAAGTGTTAACAAGTTTTTTTTTTTTTTAATTTTGGCTGCATGACCTAATGTTAAACCCAAGGTGACCCAAATTCTTGAACTTGAGCTAGAAATCAAGTAAACAACATTTCTGACTAATTTCCAGGATATTTGGACTAAAACACAAGCCTCTTTAGTGATAACAAGGCTTTTCCATATTTTGGTTGCATGACCTAGTTTTTTACCTTAGATAATCCATATTCGAACCTGAGCTAGAAATCATCAAAACAATCTTTAACACAAATTTCAAGGATATATATACCGAAGCAGTAGCCTCTAGAGTGTTACCTAGGTTTTTCATATTCAGGCTGTGACCTAGCAAGATCCCAGGTGACCCATTTTTGAACTTGACCTAGAATTCATCTAATCATTGTTTCTGACCAATTTTCAGGATAATTGGGCCAAAAATGTTTCCTCTAGAGCCTGTACAATTTGAGTTATTACTATAAAGAATGTTCTATGTACCTACATTGAATATACAAACAAGAAGGCCATGATAGCCCTTATATCGCTCACCTGATAATTGAGGCTCTGAATTAATATTGTTAGCAATGAATGCAAGGCAGATATAATGCCATAAACCAAAAAGATTATTTTTTAAGTACATTGTATTTACTATATACATATAAGGAAAATCAATGACCCCCCTGGGACAAGGCAAATTTTATCCCCAGGGCTATAATTTGAATAAATTTTTAAAGACTTTCATAAGATGATGCTACAAACAAAATCTAAGCTCTAAGCCTATCACTTTCAGAGGGGAAAATTTTTGAAGTTTTTACTATATATACACAATGAACATCAATGGACCAGAGGTGGGGCCAAACTTGACCCCAGGACTATAATTTGAACAATCTTGGTAGAGTCCAATACATTATGTTCTATGCAAAATATCTAAGCTCTAGGCCTTGAACTTTCAGAGGAGAAGATTTTTTATGTTTTTACTTTATGTACATAATGAAATGAGCGATCAGTGATCGCATGTGGAGCCTCATAATAGCCGTTACTCGGCCAAAAACTATATAAACTTAAAACCTGTGTAATTTGAACAAGAACTTGAGCTACCAATCAATCCTGTAAAGTTTCAATGAAATTGCATAAGTGGTATAACAGGAGTAGTCCGGACAAATTTTAAAAATTAAAATCATTAAAGGGCCATAATAATCCCTGACCAAATGTATTCATCATTCCTGTAAAGTTTTGATGCATGTAATAGCACCAGTAGTTTCTGAGGAGCAGTCTGGACAAGCAACACAAAAGAAAACACATTCTTTATTAAAGGGCCATAACTCGGCTAAAAATTATTCAAGCGAAAGAATTGTGTATTATGCACAAGTACTTGAGCTACCAATCGAAATGAAATTGCAATAGTGGTATAAGAGGAGTAGTTCAGACAAACTTTATTACACACTGTTCATTCAAGGCCATAACTCAGTCAAAAATCATTCAAGCCGAAAACCTGTGTCATATGCGCAAATATTTAAATAATGTAAAAATTCATTGAAATTGCATTAGTGGTATAAAAGGAGTAGTTCGGACAAACTTTAAAAATAAAAATAATTAATGGGCCATAACTCTAAAACAACAAGAGGGCCCAGAGGGTCCTGGATCGCTCACCTGAGAAATTGGTCAAAAATCAAAGAAGAACCTTTTTCTCCCCAGAAGCACAATTTGAAAACATGGGACAACTTAATCTAAACAACTTTTGTACACTGTCACCAAGGAAATTTTTGTGTAAAATTATTTCAAAATTGAACCAGTGGTTTAGATGTTGTTAAAATGAACATATCAAGTATCTAAGCTCTACCTCTTTTGGTCTTTTACAAGAAGATCTTTTAAGTTTTTACTATATACATATAAGATTATCAATGACCCCTGGGACCAGACCAATTTTAAACCTAGGGCTTTCATTTGAACAAGCTTTGTAAACATCCAGTAGAAGATGTCAAATATCTTAAGCTATAGATATTTTGTTTTTTACAAGCAGATTTTTTAAGATTCTTTGTAAAAAAAATCTTTTGATTGCCATGGCAACCAGAGTTCTTTATGGAATTTAATTCTTTGAACAACTTTGGTAGAACTTCATGCAAGGAACATCCTTGCAAGGTTTCAACAAATTTAGCCAAGTGGTTTAGGAGGAGAAGTTGTTGAAAGAAATTGTTTACGCACAGACACACGGACGATGGACAACGGACAATGGATTGACCATCACAAAAACTCATCTTGAGGATAATGTCCTCTGGTGAGCTAAAAATCATTGGCCCATAAAAAGACCATGATGATTATGCACAATTATACTGATCATTCCTGTAAAGTTTCATTGCTAGCCGCATGGGTTCAATTGATTATTTGAATAAACTTGGTAGACACTCAGAAGAAGATATTTCATGCTTAGTATCTAAACTCTAGCTCTTTGGGTTTTTTATAAGAAGATATTTTACATTTTTACTATATACATATAAAAGGAAAATCAATGACCCCCCCCCCCCCCCCCCGGGCCAATTTTAACCCCAGGACCCTTCTTTGAACAAACTGAGTAGACACTCATTAGAAGATGTTTCATGCTAAACATCTAAGCTCTAGCTTGTTGGGTTTTTTAAAAGAAGATTTTATAAGTTTTTACTATACACATATAGTTAAATACAATGACAACCCTGTTTCATGCCAAATATCTAAGTTCTAGTTCTTTGGTTTCTTTAAAAGAAGATTTTTTAAGTTTTTTTCTTTCTTTTGCCATGCCAACCCGAGTTCTGCATGGAATTAAATTCTTGAAACAAAGGAACATTCCTATGAAGTTTGGATGAAACTGGCGTAGTGAATTATGAAGAGATGTCGTTTAAAGTCAAAGTAAATGGACAGACACCGGACGAATGAACGAACACTGGACGAATTGTGATCACAAAAGCTCACCTCCAGGTAGAGAAAAGTGATTATTAAACAGATAATTATGACCTACCAATATACAAGCATGAGCTTGATGGTAATATGAAGGATGCATATTGTTAAAACGTTCCTGGCCGGCTGTGTCCCAGAAATCTGAAGGAAAAAAAAAAAAAAGTAACATGAAATTTCAAAGCATACAGAACTTATTTCTTTTGCTCTTTAAAAAAATTCTCATGATAACAGCATTCCACAGTGTGAAGATGACCCAAAATGCCTTGATATACAGTTAAGTTTCGTTCGCTCGAACTCGGATCACTTGAATACCTTCCTTCGAACTCATCGCCCAGTCCCGCAAAATTTCTATATAATATATATTGTTCTACCTCAGATCGCTTGAACACCGATCGCTCGAACCCTCGAACCTGATCTTTGGTCCCTTTGGTAGAAGTATAGTTAAAATCACACCTTTTCGGTAAAAAAAAAAGACAACAAAAGTTGCAGGTTGACATGTTATATCACCTTGTGATCGTGATAAAGGCACTTAAGGTTAATTGATACAAAATAAGGTGTTGTTACCGATTTGTTTGTTATGATAATATTGTTTATTTGCCATCTTCAGTAACAATATAAAGAGAATAACTTGTGAAATAAGTAAAGTGTGCACCCAGACGGCTTTAATTACAGCCGTGGTGCATGTAACGTGAATATCTATACAATGATACTTGTATGTGTGTTTATTTTAGTAAATGACTACAAATTAATGCTGCTGTTAATTTCTTTTTTACTACCTAATTAATGCATTGTTTAAATTCAATTTTATCCCATAATAAACATATAAATATAAACAAGATTGGAAAATGATTGCCATTTACAATCTGCATGAATATAGAGTAACACAGTGTACTGTTAATACTTATTTGAAAAGACCGGGATACTAATTCTTAATATTCAAAAGAAGAGGCCTATTCCACGAACAGACTTTACTGATGTACAAGCAAACAATTATATTGGCATATTTATCATTCCACCGATGAAAGATTGAAAATGTTTAGACCTATGTCCTACGTGATAATAGTTCAACCTCTGTTGGCTCAAACTACTGATTTCTCAAACAAATTTGCACAGACCCTTCTAGTTCGAGCGAACGAAATTCGATTGTATATAATAATATTATATAATCTTATATAAGACCTCATTAACAAATTCAACATCTGGCCCTTTTCAAACATAAAACTATGAAGGGTTTTCAATTTGAAAAATGACTAAAACATACCTGTATTAAAATACCATTTACAATAAATACATTACATGCTATACACTAAACTTGCTTGGTTCTTTATAGGCCATTTTAGTGAACAATCATAATATTGACAAATTAAAAGGCAAATATGTGTGATACTATTGTTGCTTGTATTGTAATGGTATATATTTTGACTAACATCTGGTCAAAAATAGAACAGAGCTGACAAGACTCCCCGCCAAGTGGAAGCAATGCTAGACTTTTTTTACCTTTATTAAAAGCAAACAAATGAAAGGTTTAAACAAATCATTAACTAGAAATGTGTCCATAGGACACAGGTGCCCCAACACTCCACTGTTTTGTCAAGCTTATGACTTTAGGTCAAATTTTTTTTGGACTACATGCGCCACATGTTGAAAACTAAAAAACGTTTACTAAATCAAGGGCAAGAACTTTACAAATACTGAATAAATCCAAAAGCAAACACCAAGGTGCATAAGTACATGGCTGACCAACATTCTTGTAAACTTTCAGACCAACAGGTCAAATATTTTTTGAGTTATGCATGAACAAGTTGAAAATTGCAAATTTATACTAAGTCAAGGGCAATAACTCTAACAAAACTGAAAAAAAAAAAATCCACATGCTAAACCCCAGGTGCATATTATATAATAAGCTTCACAGTGATGTTGATCATTATTCCTGTAAAATTGGTTGATTCTAACTCAAGCACTCAAGGAACAAATAACACAAAATAATGGAACAGTTTTTACTAAGTCAAGGGCAATAAATCTGACAAAACAGAATATATCCACAAGTGAAACCTCAGGTGCACAACTTCAAATGCTGAGCAACATTCCTGTAAAGTTTCATGACACTAGACCAAATACTTTTTGAGTAACGTGCACACAAGTTGAAAATCGTAAATTTTTATGAAGTCAAGGGCAATAACTCTAAAAATACTAAACAATCCACATGAAAATACCCAGGTGCACAACTACACATGCTGATCAACATTCTTGTAAAGTTTCATGACTTTAGGTCAAATACTGTTTTAGCTACATGTGACACAAGTTGAAAAATGTAAATATTTACTAAGTCAAGGGCAATAAATCTGAAAAAAAAAACAAACAGAATAAATTCACAAGTGAAACCCAAGTGCACAACTACACATGCTGAGCAACATTCCTGTAAGGTTTCATAACTCTAGGTCAAATACTTTTTGAGATATGTGCGACACAAGTTGAACAAGCAATTATCATAGTATTGCAAGCAATCCATAAGTCCCCTATTGGTTAGAACCCCAGCAACATTCTGATGGGCCATTGGCCATTCAATTATACCATTGAATGAATGAATGAAATCAATGAACTTAAATCTTTTGAGTTCTAAGTTTGTCTATATTATAGTAATGTGTTAGTTTCCCTGCCAAGTAAGGAAATTATGTTTATACAACAGATAATCAAAAGGTGCAATTTTCTCAGGATGAATAAGTATATCAAATGTTTCAACTTTTCTCTATTTTAAGTAAATTTGTTGGAAAAAATCTTGTCAAATTATTATGATGTGGGAGTTTGAAGTAAATCTTAAAAGGAATGAAGAAGTTGGGAGTAAAAAATACCAATTTCTTGAAAAAAGTTCAAGGGGGGCACAATTCTGACAAGAGCCATGTCAACATGGCCATCCCCCGCCGAATGTGTTTGCTCATTGGAAGAATGTATATGTAGTAGAGCAGAATAATTCCATTTTAAGAGGTCTTTTGGTAAAGAAAACTGATGGCTATAGTGATAACAGATTTGAAACCTATGTGAATACTGATGGCTGAAAATAACAAAAAAATAATGCAGGGTAGGTTATCATTCTTGTGTGCTGCATCCCTCCTCAGTAAAATCTATCCACCTATGAAGTTTCAAGTTGATATCTCAAATACTTTTTGAGAAAAAAATTGAATTGAAAAATTAAGTATGAAAAATAACAAAGGGCAATAACTCAAAAATTATAATAGGTACAGTTATCATTCTTGTGCACTGCACACCTCCTGAGTTAGATCTATGCACCTATGAAGTTTCATAATGATATCTCAAAGGCCTTTTGAGTTATGCTCTGGACAAAAATTAATTTTGAAAAATAAAAAAGGGCAATAACTAAACAATTATGCAGGGTAGAGTTATCATTCTTGTGCACTGCACTCTTCCTCAATGAGATCCATCCACCTATGAAGTTTCAAGTTGATACCTCAAATACTTTTTGAGATAAGCTCCGGACAAAATAGTATGAAAAAGAACAAAGGGCAATAACTCAAAAATTGTACAGGGAAGAGTTATCATTCTTGTGCACAGCATTCCTCCTCAATAAAATCTATCCACCTATGACATTTCATGTTGACATCTCAAACACTTTTGAGTTATGCTCCACTCGGGTGAAAAATTAAGTATGAAAAATAACAAAGGGCAATAACTCAAAAATTATGAAAGGTAGAGTTATCATTCTTGTGCACTGCACACCTCCTGAGTGAGATCTATGCACCTATGAAGTTTCATGTTGATATCTCAAAGGCCTTTTGAGTTATGCTCTGGACAAAAATTAATTTTGAAAAATAACAAAGGGCAATAACTCAAAAATTATGCAGGGTAGAGTTATCATTCTTGTGCACTGCACTCTTCCTCAATGAGATCCATCCACCTATGAAGTTTCAAGTTGATACCTCAAATACTTTTTGAGATAAGCTCTGGACAAAATAGCATGAAAAAGAACAAAGGGCAATAACTCAAAAATTGGTTAGGGAAGAGTTATCATTCTTGCGCACAACATTCCTCCTCAATAAGATCTATCCACCTATGACATTTCATGTTGATATCTCAAACACTTTTTGAGTTATGCTCCACTCAGGTGAAAAATTAAGTATGAAAAATAACAAAGGGCAATAACTCAAAAATTATGAAAGGTAGAGTTATCATTCTTGTGCACTGCACACCTCCTGAGTGAGATCTATGCACCTATGAAGTTTCATGTTGATATCTTATAGGCTTTTGGAGTTATGCTCTGGACAAAAATCAATTTTGAAAAATAACAAAGGGCAAAAACTCAAAAATTATGCAAGGTAGAGTTATCATTCTTGTGCACTGCACTCCTCCTCAATGAGGTCTATCCACCTATGAAGTTTCAATACTTTTAGAGATATGCTCCGGACAAAAATGTCGGACGGAAGGACGGACGGACGGAAGGTCGGACGGACGGAGACTATTTCTATATCCCCTGCCGCCTTTTCGGCGGGGGATAAAAATAGTCTTGCTAGAGTATTAAACCTTCTCACATAATTATGTTGAGTGATAATAAGAAACATACATATGATGTTGAAGCAGATACATAGCAAGACTATTTTCTGAATTATGCCCTCCTTGAACTTTTTCGAGAAATTGTATTTTTTACTGCGACTTTTTCATTCCTTATAGGATTTACTTCAAACTCCCACATCATAATTATATGACAAGGTTTATAAATCTAGAATCCATATTTCCAGAATTATCTCCTCCTTAAACTTTGGATTTTTCTTATTAATTGTTTAATCTTCTTATTTCTTCATGGATTTACTTCAAATTCAAAATAAAATTAATTATCAACACCTACAGTTTATTTTATTTTTAATTTTCATCTTTGTTACAATACATAGAAAATTGTGATCTTTTGTCTGTTCATAAAAACAGTTTCCAGAGATCAGTTTTAAAGATTGATCCCAACAAATTTACTTAAAATAGAGAAAAGTTGAAACATTTGTTATACTTATTCATCCTGAGAAAATTGACCCTTTTGATTATCTTTTGTATAAACATAATTTCCTTACTTGGCAGGGAAACTTAACACACTTCTATGATATAGACAAACTTTAAGTTCATTCATGTCATCATTCATTCAT